ATTGCGACGCCGTTCTTGCGGCACAACGCAGTTGCGGTGCGAATTCGACTAATTCGCAACTCCGTATTTTGCCAAACTTTCCTTGCGAACGGCCGCTCTTGCGAAGGGGACGGACAGCCAATCAAACGCGGCTCGAGAAAGACGTCACGGTGGTCATAGCAACGTGGGAATCAAAAATACGAAAAATGCGTCAACTACGTCGTCGTCTTCAAAATTCGCTGCGGGGGTGGGGCGGCGGATGTGCTTTTTCCATGTGAATATTTTTCGCCGGGGGATGTAAGCTTCAGTACGGCATTAAAACGAACTGGCGTTTGCGTACCACGAGAGAGTTGTGGTTGCTTCCTTTGTAAAATCGCAGGCGATAACAATTGACGCTTCTGTTCGATCACTTCGCGTAAGGGACTCGTGGCATAGAAAAAAGATCCTTTCTTCAAATCTGTTTGCAGATGACGCGAAGGTCTGTCTAGAAACTGAGAAACGCTGAACAGAACCTTGTTATTAAAGCCATTTGATAAAAATCGAGCTTCACATTTTTACGTATAGTGAGAATAACTAATTGATATGTAAACGCGCTGGACGCGTGCTACGCGAGCGACACGCGTGTAAAATGGCTTTAATTACAAAGTGCCGATCAGCGATTCTCGGTTTCTGGACAGACCTTCGTGTCAGATCCCCAAACAGATTTCATGAAAGGGTCTTTCTACTATTCAATGAGTCCCCTACGCAAATGTCACACGTGCCACGCGTGACATTTGTCATAGAAATCCTGTGACAATTTGGTTTTGTGCATAGTTTGCGATTATTTCACCAACACGATTGCTTTGGCTTATTTTTTGCATCTGAAAACCTGTGGTTTTATTTATTTATGTCGTTTCCTTTATCTTCAGTGTTTTTGTCATGTTCGCAATCGCTAAGATTGTTTTGGATAAAAAAAAAAAGCTTAACATTTACGTTAGCTTGTTCATGCTGACCTACACTGAGGAAGTACAGAATGTGTTTTGCACGTCCAGCGTGTCGTTCATTTCATGAAAGCCGGCCGATAAAACGAATTCTGTGTTTTGTAAAGACCCGATTGGGAAGCGTAGGTCCAACGAAAACAGTAAAATAGCACCTTACCCTGTGGGGAATCAGCCAGTACTCTGTCGATCTACTTTGGGCTATACCTGCCACAAAAAGTGTCCGCCAGTTTGTCCGTAAAAGGGGCAAAGACCACAACCCATTTTCTACAAAAAGATTGACTGATTTGCAGGCAACAGGTCCGGGGTGGAAATGAACTAGAGAGATGACATGATGCAGGGGTGATTCAGAAATCAATTTTTTATTGCTGGCTTTAAATGTTGAAAGATAACAACTAACAAAAGACAAAAAAGATGCAATTACAAAAGAAAAAAAAAATCAAGTACAGGCTCACCTTTTTGGCAGACATCAAATATGAATAAAGAGGAACATAACACGTTGCTGGAGTCATGGGGTGCACCGGCGCCAAAAGGCAAATATTTGCATCGTGCGCCAGTGTTGCAAGGCCGCCCACTCATCTACGCACGCCACCGACGATCCGACCTTGTCAATGGCCAGACGAAATCGACCCCTACGTGACCCGGAAGCTACAACGCAAGGCACGACGAGAAGGAAACTCGCCGTGCCTTCTGTTATAGTTTCGTCGTAACCACATAACCCCCTACAGCCCACCCCACACTGCAGAGAGGGCAGATGCTACGCTTCTTCGGCGTGTACAAACACACTCCCTCTCAACACTGCACTACCTCATGCACGTTGCAGATTTACCTGAACCACCTAAATGCACATACTTCCGGAGACTACTCAAATAACTCTCACACACCAAGTCAAAAGGAAGCTGAAGCGGTTTTGTATTTGAGGAAACACACTTAAGTCGTCTTCATTTCACCTCCAGGATCTCGAATATCGAAATTATTTCTTTTATAATATAGGGCATGGAGGTTGCAGAAAATCATTTTCAGAGTACCACCGAAGGCCCTCCTTCCAGGAGAGTTTCGCCATAAAAGGAGTTCTCGGAATCTTCCTTCCAGCAGCGTCCACCACAGCTATGCACGCGTACTCTTGCTGTTTTTTTTTTTTTTTTTTTTTAAGAAGGGCAGAAAAAGATGTTAACACTTGTGCCAGTACGGGGGAATACACCTGGCAAGCTAGGGATTGCATGCGCGGCCCTCGAGTGACACGAGCTTTGCGGCCGAAAGGCCCTTTTATGACGCCACGACGGGTCGGGTGTTTTTCGTGTTTTCTCGCGTTAAGTTACATCTTCGGGGAAAACGAACGCGATATTCATATCCACGGGATAAAACTACGCTAGAATCAAGCTCTATCTCATTTTTTTTTTAAAGAAGTGTTCCGGCTTCCCTTTAAGGACTGCGCCTCAGCTCAGGATCTTGCAGAACGTGCACTGAAAACACTCGTCCCACTTATCCAACCAAGGATCTCAGAGGACTGTGTCACTCCTCCATGGGCGGCAGAGTATAAATTACGTCCACCCCTAGTTAAGCACATTAATAGCGTACATGAACAGGGAGAGTCCCTAATTTCATCCCCCTCCAATAGCACCGGTCTTGGTACAATACAAATGTTTCACTTTCTCTGTTCAAAGTCCTAGTGGGCCTCACACGGAAGCCGTCTCTCACCAGAGCGCCCGTTCAAAAGTAGCGAACTCGCAGCGGCAGAATATTGTTGTAATGGTGGCCTTAGCTCCCTGTTCCACCGGAAATAGGTCAGACGATCCTCACACACAAAAACTTGAAAACTTCGTGATTTGTCACCATATCACTAACACTACTTAGGATTTCAGTCCAGCGCGGTTCCTTTGCCATGACACTGCAGCTTCCTTTACCAAGCACCTGCGGTACAGGTCTCTCACTGCGGTGGCCACTATGTTGCATTTTCGGACAGATTGGTCGACGTGCCGCGATCTCAGCCTCGGTAGGTGGAGCAACGCGTTTGTCTGTTGAGAGACCTCCTTGCGCCACTGGCCATCAACGATGTTGCCGAAGTGGTCGACTTCAATCAGCATTGGCATTTAGCATGTGCAACTTGTCGTCTTGTAGGTAGTTGTGCAGTACACAAGCTGCGCGGATGACTCCGGTGGCGCGGTCTGGGAGGAGGTCGATTGGCCTGCGGAAGATGCAAAATCTAGTAGCCAAAATTTCGAATGCGTTCTGGACGCACCTTCTGGAAATGGGACAAAGACAACACTGTGATTTTTGTTATTATAATGCAAGTGCAACAATTCTAAAGGTTACCTCGCTCTACACAGTCGATAGTTGAATATTTTTAGATAATCGCTGAGGTATCAACCAGGACAGGGCCTCAGAAAGTCCGACCTCAGTTGAAATGCCTCGTCTCCAACGAAGACGGACGCGGCGATAACATGGGAAGATTGCAGCAGATTTGGTGGTGGACAATTCAAGGCAGCTTGACTGAGGCACTTTCCTATCCTTGATGCCTTGAAGACGCCACCATCACTTTGGTGGCCATACGCTCCAGAGTCTGTGGCCATAAACCTCGACTTGCTGTCCACGACGGCCATCAGCACTACAGAGTAGGTTACCCTGAAAAGCCGAACGTTACGTCACTTCATCCACGCTTCCAAAACATGATATGTGTTAAAGTAAATTTGTAGACCCATAAACAGCACCTTGTAGTTATAGTACAGGCTTCAAGAATCGGCAAGGGCTTCGATATGTCCGTGTTTTCCGTCAACGTTCCCCACACAATGAGAAAAATTCCGCCCTGTCTCAAAGCCCTTGGCAATTTCCCTTGGTCTGTGATTCTTGATGGGAGCTAGAAGTACAGCACAAAGTTCACTCATGGTTTTACGTTGTTATTTAAAAGCCGTTCATGTAATCTTTACCTATAGTAATACTGGTAAGAAATGCATCCTCAAATATGAGAAATACTTGTTGACGCTTAACAATTGCGAATACTTTTGTAACTGTATCTGAAAAGCTGTGTGTCTGTTTTTTTTTCTCCCTCGCTCCTTTTTTTCTACGTTCAGCTGGAAACTTTCAGAAGCATGTTTAGCCAACTAGCCCAGCTCCAGGCACACACCACTTACTTTTGTAAGCTATCATATTATGCCCAAGTCAGGCCGGTGTCAGACTGCTTATACCAAAGACAAAAAACAGTCTGCAGACATCGACCGAACGCGACTCACTGACGCATCTGTGTTTCATAAGCCGCGTGCCAGGCTGCTCCTTTCATTGGTTGCCGTGCGACATAAAAAAAGCGGGGATGCTGCGGTGCCTCAAATTACTATTTGTCTGCAAACTGTATTCGTAGGATGCGTAATGTGTGACCCCGTCTTTCGAAGGTGGCGCAGTAATAGCATTGGGGCCCTCAACATCCTCAGGTCTGCAGCCCTCTCTTCCCAAGTTCGTCCCTAGAATCATAAATCAATGGCTCTCTGTTGTGTAAACATTTTGAGAAACCATTTTTGACAGTACAGCTTTCAACATGATTCATTTAGATATTTCGGCTGCGAATAGTTAGGAGCAGCTGCAAAGGACGAGTTAGCTGCAGTGATTTGTACACCCGACTCCCAAAATTATCTCCAGGTGGGGTGTGACACCCCCCCCCCCCCTCCCCAGGATGTCTTAAGCAATGTATATAAACCTAGAGCCAGCCCCTTGTAATGTTCGGCGAGTTCCCGGGACAGCGGGGCATTGACGAGTGCACGCAAGCTTGCCCGGTGTTCAACTGTTTTAATCTCGTGCGACATGCTCTTTTTATACCAGGTGTGCAGGGGGCGCCACCTGGCTGTCTATCACATTCCTCCCCCCCCCTAACAAAAATGAGCCAAGGTCCCACCGATTTTCACGGTGAAAAGCGCACAGGAGGCTTTCGTGCTCGATTACTTCTCCTCGGTAGTGGAGTACCAGGACTCCTTGGTAGCGGAATGCCAAGAACAGGCTGAGTGTCGTCATGCTGGTATTCAGCTGTTACGGTTTGAGGTACCGCTTGGGCAGAATCCTCTAGTGGTACAGGCACATTTCCATTAGGAGGAGCGGCCTGATCCACCGGCTCTGGTCGCGGACCCGATGATGCCCTAGCTTGGGATAGGTCAGGACGCAGATGTCCTTCATGACGTCTCCAACACCGACCATCTGGGAGTGCGATATCTGTGATGTGGTCACTGGGAGTGTCGATCACAGTTGCCGGTACCCATGGTGGACCTTGTCGAAAATTTCTCGCATACACGGCATCACCCGGTTGGACAGTTGGTATCAGTCGAGCACCCCTGTCGTGCGCCATCTTCTGGATGAGTTGTTTTTTCGATACGCTTGACCTCAGGTCCGGGTGAAGTAGAGCCAAAGCAGTCTTCAACTTGCGGCCCATCAGTAACTCCGCCGGAGTGCACCCTGTGGTTTCATGAGGTGTAGTTCTGTAGTTGAGCAGGATTCGGGCCAGCTGACATTGGAAACTTCCATCAACTGCCTTCTTTAGCTTCAACTTTATGGTTTGGACCGCTCGCTCAGCGGCTCCATTTGACGCTGGGTGATACGGTGGTGTTAGAATCTGCCTTATTCCATTTTGTTGAAGGAAGTTCTTAAAGCTACCGCTTACAAATGCCGGCCCGTTATCGGATACGACGAGGTCTGGTAGTCCGTGACAGGCAAACATCACACGCAGGCAAGGGATCGTGGCTTCTGCCGACGGCGTGGACACAGGAACGACCTCAATCCATTTTGAGTAGGCGTCGACCACGATGAGTAGATATCGGTTCTTCATTGGTCCAGCAAAGTCGATATGAAGACGAGACCATGGCTTTTCTGGGAATGGCCATGGCATCATTGGTGCTGGTCGTGCGAGTCGGTGGTTTTCTTGACACACACGACATCCCCGCACTGTAGCCGCAATGTCTTCATCTAATGATGTCCACCATACATGACTCCTAGCCACGGCCTTCATTTTGGCGATCCCTGGATGACCTTCATGCAAGAGTCGTAGAACCTCTGGTTGTAAGGATCCTGGGATGACGACTCTTGACCCCAACAGGATACAGTTCTCTTGTACGCACAGCTGAGTTGTTCGAGGAGCGTACGGTTTTAAGTCTGGGTCATGCAGCTCAGCTCCAGACCACAAATGATCTCGAAGCTTCGACAAAATCAAGTCTTTTGAAGTGGCGTCAGCCACGACAGACGCAAGTAGTACGCGAGGATAGGCCCCCTCGAGCATAAATACCTCTGCTGGCCGCTCGATGGAACATGGAGGAACTGGCAGCGGCAGCCTACTCAAGGCATCCGCATTTGCTATGTGTGAACCAGGTCTGTACTTCAGTTTGTAGCTGTAAGCCGACAGCATCAGTGCCCAACGCAGCACCCGTGGCGAACAGGTCTCAGGCACAGGCTTGTCCGCAGCAAGCAGCCCCAGCAAGGGCTTGTGGTCTGTGACCGCTTCGAAGTCACGGCCCCACAGGTATTGCCGGAACTTAGTCACACCAAATATCAGAGCCAGGGCTTCCTTGTCAAGCTGACTGTAGTTGCGCTCAGCCGGCAGAAGACCTCTAGATGCAAACGCAATTGGTTTCTCAGCACCTGAATCTTCTCGGTGAGCAAGGACAGCCCCAATTCCGTACGGCGACGCATCGCAGATAAGCACCACTGCTTTCTTCGGGTCATAATGCGCCAATACCGCGGCAGACAGCAGTAACTCCTTGCTCTGACGAAAAGCCTGTTCCTGGTCCGCACCCCAAGTCCAAGGCGTCTTTGCCCCCAGAAGATGGTTTAACGGATGTAGAACGCTGGACAAGTTAGGCAGGAACCGACGATAGAAATTGACCAGTCCCAGGTAGCTCTGCAGCGTTTTTACATCGGTAGACCTTGGAGCTTTCAGTACTGCGTCAGTCTTTTCTGGGTTTGGTTGGAATCCCGCAGAGCTAACGACATGACCCAAGTATTTAACCTGGGGAACCAAGAAATCGCACTTGCACAGCTTCAGCTTCAGCCCAGCTTGCTGCAGCCGACTCAGCACTTGGTTCAGGTTTTCCAGGTGGTCTTGATCGTTTCGCCCTGTCACGAGAATGTCGTCGAAATATACAACGACGTGCTTAAGTCCTTGCAATAGGTTCTCCATCTCTCGTTGAAAGATCGATGGTGCAGAGGTCACACCGAACGGCAGGCGAGTGTACTGGTACAGACCTCGTGGAGTGTTGATGGTAACCAGTTGTGACGACTTCTCATCAAGTTTAACTTGTAGGTATGCATCTTTTAAGTCCAACTTGCTGAATTTCTCGCCTCCGCTCAGCTTAGCAAACAGGTCCTCCACTCGCGGGATGGGGTACTTTTCAGGTACAGTCACAGGATTCACAGTGACTTTAAAGTCTCCACAGATGCGAATCTGCCCATTTTGTTTCAGGACCGGTACAATAGGGGCAGCCCATTCCGAAGTCTTCACTGGACGTAGGACTCCCTCCCGTTCCATGCGTTGCAACTCCTCGTTGACTTTGTCAAGCATCGCAAATGGAACTGAACGAGGCTTGAAAAACCTTGGTTTGGCGTTGTCCTGAAGATTTATCTTTGCGGCCACCCCCTTGAAAGTTCCCAGACCTTCATCAAAGATACTGGAGTATTCAGCAACGAGGTTCGCAACAGAAGTCACGAAGTTGACATCCTTCGCGTTGGAAAGCTTGATGCCAAGGCCTTTCATCCAGCCACGTCCTAGCAGAGATGGGCAGGTGCCAGGGACAACATACAGGATGTCCTGACATTCGCGGTTTCCAAGTCTCACCGTTGCAGTAAGGCTTCCCTGAACTGGGGAAAGTTCACCTGAATAGCTTTTCAGCATGATGCGCGAAGGGTCCAGCTGCCTTGATGGAAATTCGCGTCGAAATGTCTCCTCAGACACAACAGACACGCTAGCTCCCGTGTCAAGTTCCATCAGCAATGGAGTCCCGTTCACCGTAACTTCCACTCGAAAAGGTTGGCCGTCGACTGCAGAAGATGACATTTCCCACATCTCGTAGACTTCTGGCAGTGAGACATCGTGCGACTGGCTTGCTCCGTCCAAGGTGTGGACCGATCTCGGTATTCTAGTGGACGTCGTCGGGCCGCCGGCGGTTGCATCCGCTGTTTTCCCCTTGCACACTCGTGCCAGATGCCCCTTTCCCCGACACTTGTGACAAGTGGTACTTGCATGATGGCACTGTGTGGCGTAATGCTCGGCTCCGCAACGAAAACACGAGATGGTGCCAGTCTTCCACTTCGGGTTCACAGCTGCATCGCGTGACACTGTGTTAGCTGACGCGAGGTTTGGCTGGATAGACGTCGACAGCATCTGCGAATCTTTTTTCGCTGCTTCCATTGCAACGACCGTCTTTTTTGCGAGGTCAAGGGTCAAATCTGGAATCTCTAGGAGTCGCCTTTGTATCATCTCGTCGTTAATACCTCCGACGATGCGGTCTCGCAGCATTCTATTTCGGAACGCGCCGAATCCGCAATCATCCGCCAGCTTGTTCAGACAAGCAAAGAAATCCGCCGCTGTCTCACCGTCATGACGCATCCGTGAATTGAACTTAAAGCTTGCGACGACTTCCGAAGGCTTCGGTGAGAAATGCTCGCCTAATACCTCAAAAATGGTTTCTAGGCTGGCCTCCGACGGTTTGACAGGAGCCAGCAGATTTCGAAGCAACGAATATGTGGCGGGTCCAAAACACGTAAGTAAAACAGCTCGCCTTTTCTCATCCTTGACATCGTTGGCGATGAAGTACTGTTCAACCCGCTCCCGGTACTCGCTCCAGTTCGTTTCAGTGTCAAACGGCTCTAGTTTGCCGACCACCGGCATTCCAGAACAGGCGCACGGTCCGACGGCAGCAGTTCAACACTTCCACTTCCTCGTCGCCACTGTAATGTTCGGCGAGTTCCCGGGACAGCGGGGCATTGACGAGTGCACGCAAGCTTGCCCGGTGTTCAACTGTTTTAATCTCGTGCGACATGCTCTTTATATACCAGGTGTGCAGGGGGCGCCACCTGGCTGTCTATCACACCCCTTCTAACACCCCCTTATTTATCTCCAGGTTGGGGGCGACACCCCTCAGAATTTCTTGACCAATGCATCTAGACCTAAGGCCACCCCTCCCAACAGCCCCCCCCCCCCCCCCCCCCCAATAATTGCAACACCCCCTGATTTAGAATTCTGGATGATTCCGTGGTTTGGTAGTGTGTAGAAAGAGTACGCCGGGGCGGGGGGGGGGGGGGGGGGGGGGGACTTGAATTCATCAATTTCCCAAGACCACCACTGTGAGTCTTGTTGTTCGTCATGATCTACATCTTTAAAGGCGGTATTTAGTGGACGCCATATTGGCGCGCATTTTTCGCAGCTAGAGCTCAAAAAGAACTGCTACGTACTGCTGGCAAAGATAAACAATCTTGACGGTGTGAAATATACGTTGCAGAAGCGTTGTGCAAATTCACTAACAGCACGTGCTCTCAACAACAACCGGCGCAAGCTATGGCCCCCAGTGAATACCACACGACCGGAATACCACCTCCATTTTCAAGTGTTTTTTTCATTACGAGACGCCAGCGACTCTCTCACAGCATGCATGCGACACTAAGGATACGGTTGGTTTTGGGTGAGGCGCGTTTTTATTGGCTGTCTTTTCGTACCGTCGCAGCGGCGCTGGTGACGTCTCGAAGGATGTTTGACAATTGACGCAGCTCCGATTATTTCATAATCGCATTGAACCTGCCTGTTTGCCGCAACAGCGCCGTCGCAACTGCGAAATCGCAACTAAAATCGCTCCATGTGAAACCGTCCTCTTTTCCATAAGTTACCAAAAACGAAATCAGATTTCTTTGCTTACCTTCATGTGTTTTGGGCGAAGCACCTTTCATATATGCGGACATCTCTCATGCACGATGGATGCCCCTGTTGACACTCCAACCTTGAATTGCAGTGCAAGATCCTGCATTGACGTTGCCGATGACAGGTACCTGAATAAAAACAAAACATTACTGTGTACATCAATGCCTGGAAGCCGAGAAACCAGTAATGAGTTCGCCATATAAACCAGTTTAATTGCACCTCGTATTCACTCCAAACAGTGAAGTTTAAAGAGAATACCATTTTAACTCAAAGTGATAGCAAGCCGCACCCGCGACGAACTGGGCTCTCTGACGACATATTGCTTCGTAAGCTTTGTTTCCAGGCGAGTGTGGAGTCTTTCAAAGGCGTTCCGCATTATCCGGTAATATCTTCGAAACTGCTCCGGGTCGCTGTGCAGCATAAAAAGGGTCTGCAGAGAAAAAGTATTCCAGAAACCTGCTCGCAGAAAAGCACAAGTCGACTTACCAATGAGTAAAACTCCGATTCTTCGGCTCTGCTTTGCCAGCACGGCCTGACCCGCCATCAACGCGGGCTGCCGTCTAGGAGCAGGAGTTTTTTTTCCGCAGAAGTAGGTATTCCTTTTTACAGAGCAGTCTGAACTCGTCGTCATCAGCGGCCATCATGCTCTATGAAAGTCAAGACGCGCTGCTACTTGCCATCTTTCAATATGGAACATCGTCCACGTGACGAAGCCACCGGGACAACTGTTCGCCTTGCGCGACATGCCAAGCAACGCAACAACTAGCTTGCTCAAGCAGTTATGAGTTGTGACTCTCCCGGTGTCCTTGTCGCGTTCGTCGTACTCGTTGTTTTCGTCGTTTTCGTTGATGCGAATGCAGTCGATGCAAACGTCTGAATCGGCCCTAAATATAAGTATGCGGCGTACTTTTTACCAGAAGCTTATAAATAAATCTGAAAATTTTATAATTTTGTTAAATATCGAAATTAGTATCGTCAAACGAATTCAAGGGTTCCAACCATGTGCTTCGCAAGTGCGAAAAATCGCATATGTTCTCAATCAATGTGAAAGGAAACGCGAAATTTCGCATGTGCGGTTCATCGCTTCACCGATTTCGCAGGAGAAAATCGCACCATGTGAATCAGGCTTAAGAGAGCAGACGACAAGCAGAAACGCTTGAAAGAGCAGACGGCAGTTCGAACGATCAGGCGGCCGTTTGAACTTGAAGGCGCAATAGACGTAGTCCGCAGGTGGTCCGCACAACTTGACGGTTTTCTGGCGTTCATTTTGGAACAAAACAAATAAATCTGATGACCATAAGTATCCTTGAATTCAACCCAAAGTGCTTCCCGCCCTTGCAATCGTTGTCTGACGGCGTCTGCTTTCCCTTTTTCACGGCACATATCCGGATTCTCGGACGAACCGAGCACGTGAAAACTGACCTTCAAACCTTTCTCGACACTTTTGGTACGGCTCCAGTCGCGGCGTTTTGACGAGAAGGCAGGTTTTTGTCTGGTTCCTTTCAAAACAACGCATGAATACACGTCTGGCATGGGGACTTCTGCCCACAGTCTCAGACCGGAAGTGCGACCGAGTCGCCACCACCGCGCCGTGACGTAACAGAGATGAGTTCGTGTATATCAGCGATGTCACTTTCCTTGGTTAGGGCTGTCTGCTTTGTCAGCGAATTAAGAACATTTCGATAAAACAGAGACCCGTTTCAAGTTTTCTAATCGCAGTCACTGGTTGATGTCGTACCGTGGTAATTCCGGCCCTTCGAATGCATTAGCACTTTGTAGCGTCACATTTCCAGCGATTCCGCGCCACACACGAAGGTAAACAATCAAGATGGTGGAGTGTTCCCCGTGTTGTCTTCGCCGTCAGCGCAATGTGACAGGGTTGTGGAGAACAGATCGGGCAACACGGTTGCCGGGCGGCAGCAGCATGTTGCCCGACTGTTGTTGTTACCGCGATATGACAGGGTCGCCGGTAGCCCGACTTCCCCTTGTTGCCGGATAGAGTTGTCTAACTGTTGCCTCAGTGTGACAGGGCCAATAAGGAACAAGCAGCAACCTGCCGACAAACCAACAGCATGACTCACGCAGACTTCATAGTGCGACAGAAACGACCGCAACATACTGTCGGTTTGACCCTCACTCTCTGCTTTGGTCTCTTGAACGGCCACGATATCTAACTCATGCTCGGTAAACAGTCGCTAGAGCTGCTGTTGCCTACGCCTAGCTGCGAGTCTCTGCGCGTTCAGCGTAGCAATACGTAATGAACCTTCAAGAGACACTACCATAGAGCAAGCTTCAAACCTCGAGCATAGCGCTCACCAATGTATGTAAGTACCTGAAAGTGAGCTGCCGCAGCCCCAGACAGTCGCTGCTCGTCGTCTCAGGGTAGAGCCGACAATCCGCCACGGCCACCTCTAGGCTCTTCGGCCTCCCCTCTTTCTCGCCGCCTATTGCAGCCCCAACTCTGAACGAGGGTGCAGCCGTGTCGGTCGTCACTGTCGTCTCGTTAAAGGGGTACTCCGCCGATTTTTGAGCTACCTCAACGAACTATATTTTCTGACTCCCAGGCCTTTACCCTTTCTAGTATGCTATTTAGTATCGTGAAATTCATAATAGTTATTGCGAAATCGGCAAATGAAAATGATGCAAAAACAGACATTCAAATATACCCGCCCTTTTCAGGGCCGTGACGTCAGTGGAAGTTCAGCTTGCCAGTCGGGCGAGCAGTCTAAAAAATTGAATATGCCAATCACTTGTTCCGTGCTGGAGCGCGGAAACTGGAGCCAGCTTCCAAGGCATTCATTTGACACCATGAAACTGCTTCGAATCAGTCGGGAACAAATTCTACAGTCCAAAGAGTGAACCCCTGCACTTCCAATGACGTAACTTTTTCATTGTTGCCAGTAGAGACTTTCAGTTTGAAAAACACGGTGAGGACCAAAATTGTAAATTCAATAACTTCGTGAAAAAAAATTATTTTGACCTAATATTTGGGATACTATTTTGGCGATGTTGTTTGGCGAGTTTAGCAAAATTTCAAGCAAATCGGAGACCATGAAGAAATCGGCGGAGTACCCCTTTAAACGGTCGCTTGGCAGCCTTGGCCTCGAAGTCCATTTCTCCAGCGTCTTCACCCTCGGAGGCATTTGTCGTGTCGCTCGCGACCGGTGCCTCCTGCGCTGTCACCTTCACTTCGCTCGCAGGTTCGCCGCTAAGTCCATTTCCCGGTGCCGTAGGGGTGGTCAACGCCTGATTTTGCGCGACACACGGCGCCGTGCTGGCCTCCGCTCCCGTTGTATGAAACTCTGTGTGGGAGCTATCGTCGTGGATGACGTTGCCTCCTCCGCCTTTTCCATGGCGTGGCTCATACCCGTGTCATCAGCGGTAGGGCTGGCGACGGTTCGGGCGTACGACCGCACGCAGTCCCTTGCATCGTTCCCGAAGGCTCGACATTCCTCGCACCTAGGCACCCTGCACTCACGCCGTATGTGTCCCGAGCG